ACAAAAAGACCACTTGTACTTCAATTAATAACATCACAAGGACAAGAATATGCTGTATTTGGTCATAAACCACAACAAAGATTTATTAATTATGCTGATGTTCGAGCAGAAATCGAAAATGATACTAGAGCAGTTGTACGAGATGATATGGGTGTATCGAATATACCAATTAATTTAACAATTCATTCACCACATGTTGTTAATCTTACTCTAGTTGATTTACCAGGTATGGTAAAAGTTCCATCTCAAGGACAACCCGTTGATATAGTGAAAAAAATCGATGATATTATTATTGAATATATAAGCAATGAAAATTGTCTTATTCTAGCTGTTACACCAGCTAATATTGATATTGTTACATCAGATGCTTTAGTTATGGCACGTAGTCGAGATCCAATGGGTAAGCGTACTATTGGTGTATTAACTAAACTTGATATGATGGGCAAAGGACATAATGCTCGTGATGTACTTTTAAATAAAGTTGTCGTTCTTGAACGAGGTTTTATTGGTGTTGTTCTTCGTGGACAACGTTTTGATGAATATGGTCGTGTTTCAAAAGAATTAGATATTCCAGGTGCATTAGAACATGAACGTTACTTTTTTCAAAGTGAGACAGCATATCGTGATATTGCTGATCGTATGGGTGTACCATATTTACAACGTACATTAAGTATTCAATTAACTGAACATATTCTTAAATGTTTACCTGATTTAAAACGAGAATTACAAGCTCGAAATCATGAATTAACAAAAGAATGCGCTGAATATCAGACAACTTCTATGTATGATACATCAACAAGTTCGGATACAAGAGCTCTTGTTGGTTTATCTCATGAATTACGTGAAAATTTTGATACAGCATTACAAGGTACACATTTAAAAGAATCCGATTTAAAAACTTTAACTGGTGGTGCACGTATTGCAAATATATTTCGTGAACGTTTTCCATTTGAATTAGTTAAAACTGAATTACAAGATAAAGATATGCGTAATCAAACCATAGTCGCCATTAAAAATATTCGTGGTTTTCGATCAGGTCTTTTTACACCGGATGAAGCATTTGAATATATTGTTAAAATGCAAATAATGAAATTTGAAGGACCAATCATGAAATGTGTTGATATGGTTATATCAGAATTACTTTTAATTATTCATGAGGTAACTAGTAAACTGAAACGATATCCATTATTACGACAATCGGCAGAAGAATTATTAACACAACATCTTCGAGAATGTGAAATTTCAACGAAACAAGCTTGTTCAACTTATATTCAAACTCAATTATCATATATTAATACAAATAATGAAGATTTTATTGGATTTGCAGGTGCAGAAAGTACAGTTGCTGCCGGTGAAGCTAAACGAACTATTACCAATCAGATTATACGTAAAGGTTTTCTTCGTGTTCATACTGGTGTTAAATTATTTCAAGCAAAAGATTATTTTTTTGTTTTATCAACTGATAATCTTTCATGGTTTACAGATTCGGATGAAAAAGAAAAGAAATATATGTTACCCTTAGAAAATCTTAAGATTCGAGATATTGAAGGTGGTTTTATGGCTAGACGATTACAATTTGCAATATTTAATACGGACTCAAAAAATGTCTATAGAGAACATAGAACGCTTGAATTATCTGTTGAGAATATTGAAGAACTTGATACATGGAAAGCATCATTTTTACGTGCTGGTATTTATCCAGAACATGAACAACCATCTGATGATCCACAAGCAGCAGCTGCAGTTGGTCCTGTTGATCCACATATGGAACGACAAGTTGCAACAATTAATAAATTAGTTACATCATATATGAAAATAATTGCTAAGATGACACATGATTATATTCCAAAAGCAATTATGTATCATATTGTTCAAAATTTACAAACGTTTGTAGCAAGAGAATTATTAGCAAATCTTTATGCACTTCCTGATCCTAAAGCATTATTACAAGAATCAGAAGAGGAACGACAACGACGTGAAGTAAAACTTGCCGAATTCAAAGCTATTAAAAATGCTTTAACTATAATCGAAAATTTTCATATCAATGCACGAAAAGTTGCTGGACCAGTTTCACCCTATTTTCAACCAACATTAGGAACAAATTATTCATCAAGTCCAAATCCTATGCGTAAACAACCAGCACTGCCAAATTCAATGTCAACACGTGAGCCACCGCCGCCACCACCACCTCGTCCAAGTTCAACAGCAAATGGATTTGGTGGAAATGCATCACCGTTGCCAGTACCAAGGATGCACCATCGATCTCATTCAGGCTCGATGACATCATTGTCACAATCATCATCCAATATATTTCAAGGACTAGATCCGTTCGCTACACCTACATCATCATCACAGTACCGGAATGGCATTGCAACCCCTCCTTTACCAGCTCGACCAAGACTACCACTTCCACAATGAAATTAGATTCTAGAGATCATTTTTTCTCCTTTTTTCTCAGTCAAGATTGTCTTTAATAATATGATTGTATAAGGTACAGTTAAAAAAAATGTTAACAATTAAAATAAGATCTAAATGTGCCTATTGAAAGTTCTGTAAATGAAGTAATTCTTGAATTTTTGCGTACAAGATCTCATCCCATATTTGATATCCAGTGGTATTTAAGTGTACATCGTCCTGTAGATGCTCAAGTCCGATTTGCTTAGGCGGTTGCATCCAATGAATGCAATGATCTTGTTGTGCATGCTTTTGCATTTCTGTCATATTAGTCTTAACGACAAGTTCTTCTAGAGCTATATTCGATTGTGTAATATATTGTTCGTCTACATTTTTTCGTTTAAACAAGCCAGTAACAAGTATTTGAGGTGGATTAGGCCAAGTCATGAGTAAAGCTTGTAATAGGAGATAATAATCATCGAGATTTTGACGTGTCAACGCTCGTTTGCATTGTAAATTATTAGTACCTAATTGTAATACGATAACTTTCGGATTTCTAGGTTTTAACAATCGAAGTAATCCTAAATTGATGCGGTAAAGTACATTTTCAATCTTGTCTCCTCCTACACCTGCATTAAAAATTTGTGGATAGTGTGTTTGACCAATTTGAGTGTATTTTCCTGAAGTTTTAAAGCGTTCAAGCATAGAATCACCAAGAAGAACAATATCAATCTGTGGTAATTCTTGAGATAATAGTAATGTAGAACTCTCTAATTGTGGTTGATGTGTTTGAGTATGTGTATCATGCGATCGTTGTTTGAAATAAGCTCTTTGATTAATAAGATCGTCAAGTTGTTGAATTTGTGAAGATATTGATGCCATTTTAACTAGTCTCAGTTTGGGAAATAATTTTTCTTTATATATATGTTAAACAATCTAAAGAAAAAAACAACCGATGAATATGAGTCAGTTATAAAGGGAAATATTGCGCAGTATTGTGCAATTTTATTCTGTTCTTCGTCATCATTACAAAATCTGTATGGTGTCGAGTAGAATAATATTGCACAACGTCGATGTCATACTCGCAAATGATATTCTTTAATCAGCTATGCATTTAATATCGACTGTTCACATTGTCTTTGTAAAATTTAAGTTGAAATATAAAGGATATGATCTTTTCAATACTGACCTTTATCAAGGAGAATAGATACATTATATATATAGAGTCAATCATCCATGCGCATCACAATAGTTTCATATCACTCGTGTTCATCCATATATTTTTAATTGTCTCATATGTATATTGACTATCGACATGAGATGTACGACTATCGTATACCTTCATTTTTATTCGATATATTATTTTTGCTCAGATACTATTATTGTATAAAAAATTATTTAACCTTAACTATGAGCATTTGTTCATGATGTATTGCATATGACTTTTTTTATTCATAATACGAAGCACTTACGATAAGATAGTCAAAAAATTCAGAATTCTTTACTACAAGGTTAATTTCACGTCCAATTTCTTCATCGTACATCAAGATTATCACTGAATATGAATACCAAAATTCATAGAACAAAATTAATATTGTAAACAGTCAAAGATAATTTATCAAGACTTTCTCTTGATTCATCAATATATATACATTTTTTTCAAAAAAAAGTTTTTTCTTCATCTAATCATACTTCGTTTAGATGTTCAATTAGATAAAAAAAAGACTTTTTTGTTGAGTTTGTATTCACAAATCCCTAAGAAAATCGTGATTATTTATTTATCGCAAAAATGAAATGTAGCACAACTTTTAATATCCATAAAGTATATTCTTTTCTTTTCACTGAAGTTCATTTAAATTCAAACGAATATTTTTTTCATATTGTTAATGAATAAAAACGCTTAGAGATATGAATTAAAATCACTTTGAATTTATGAAAAAATGTTGCTCTGGCAGACTAGTGTTACCACTAACCCGCACGTTTTCGTCATCGCAACATGTATTTTTTTCTAAGATTTTTTACCTCTTGGTAAGTTTATAATAAGCAACTTTTCTCGATAATATACGGATTACGACATGTAACTTGTCTTTATATATATCCTATCGACGATATGGAAAGGAAGAGTGAAATGTGTAAATACAAACTAGATGTCGTGCTTCACACATAATCGTGAAATGTTTCTTGTTACAAATTTACAAAGAGATAATCAAAAATCTTAGAAAAAAAGTATCTAGATTTAATATAAGTTGAAGAATGACAGTCACATTTGTAACAGGAAATAGAAATAAACTAGAAGAAGTTCAAGCAATCTTGGCAGATGTATTACCAAATTTACGATCACAGGATGTTGATCTGCCTGAATATCAAGGTGAACCCGAAGATATCTCTAAAGAAAAAGCAAAAATTGCTGCTCAACGTATTAATGGTCCTGTTTTAGTTGAAGATACTTCTCTATGTTTTAATGCATTACATGGTCTTCCAGGTCCGTATATTAAATGGTTTACAGATAAACTAGGATATGATGGTTTAAATAATTTACTTGCTGCGTATGATGATAAAACAGCATATGCACAATGTGTATTTGCATTTTGTGCTGGACCATCGTATGAACCGATTACATTTACAGGTCGTTGTCCTGGACGAATTGTTCCAGCACGTGGACCAAATACATTTGGATGGACTGCAATATTTCAACCTGATAATGAACAAGGACAACCAGGTGATAAAACATTTGCTGAAATGGATAAAACAATAAAAAATCAAATTAGTCATCGAAGTCAATCATTGAAATTGGTTAAAGATTATTTCAACAAACATCCAGAATATCATTCATAAAGACATTTTTCATTTTAAATCTATCAGAATTGTTTTTGATTTTATTAAAAAGAAGAAAAAAAACTATACAAAAAAGAGATCTTCGATCAAACACATAATACAGAATCATTTTAATGATGATGATCAGTCTGAGTCGATAGAAATGTTATACATTCTAACATATTTTATTCATAGTTACTCGAAACGTTTTTTGTTATCGGGTGTCGAAAATAGTATATGAAGAAAGAATTTGTATTCATTGAATGTTATCTTATGATTGTATTTCACTTTTGTTGCTGTTTAATATTTTTGCGAACAGATTTGCATTTAATTCAGTTTTTATTGATAGATTAACGGTATAAAGTAAAGTTAAAGAAGATTATAGATATTGAGAACAAATACAATAATAATGGCAAAGAGAAACTAATTAAGTGAGGAATAAAGAAAATAGTATGATAGAAATTGTAAATTAATTGAATTAAATTGTTATATATTGTTTTATGAATATCGTCTTCCAATGATATATTAGCATATGATTATTGTTTTTATTCTACAACGATCAACAAGGTACTTAGCAGATTGTTATCATGAGGTAATGCTCATTTTTTTAATTGCCTTGATTTCGAAGGAAGCCGAAATTAAATTAAAATACTAATTTTTTAATTCATTTATTAGCAATATCTCAGTAGAATATATCATCGCTTTGAGTTAGAAATTATTTGAATGGGACAATATGTGTAGGTGTGAGTCTTCGTCTTACATCTGTTTTTCATCCACATCCTCAAATGTTGTCATTAAATGAAAAAGAAAAGAAGATATTTTCAATTCTTCCACATAAATACATTCTGACTATTTTATCTCATATTAATATTTTCAATCAAATAGATTTTCTTTGGATTTATTGTTCGAAACCTAATCAATACAAATATATTTATCATGATCAATTAAATATGATTGGTATTTATGATCAACTCTATTTTTTCTTCGCCTATAGTCACCCACATTCATCCAATTCTAATTCTTTCGTTTATGTATTCGTTTTCCATAGATTTGATGTGTTTCGATGATATTCATATTGTCGAATAGTATTTGACGAAAATTCATTCTGAAGATAAACAACTACATTTTTATTATTGAGCTACTATGTGAAACAAGAATAAAATCAATTATACAATACATTTCTGATAGCATATACTGTCGATATACTTTCTCTTTCAATTTTTTTTCTCACAAAAGTTTTTTTTTGTTCTTCAGGAGTCGTTGTATTTCCTTCGTTAAGACATGATTTTCGATGTATTATTAACAATAATTACATTAAATTTTGTTTGAAACACTTTGTTTTCACATCCTTCCTACAAACATTTCAATATCATGAACATTTTTTATATTTACAGCAAACAATACCTAACATTGCATACCAGTTTTTAAAAAGGAAATGGATTCATTGTTTTTCTTTATTTTGAAATTCAAATGTTGTATTTGTTGCAAATATTTCAACAAAAAGCAAGCTCCCACTGACGTCATTATGTAGGCGAATATAGAAAAAAAAATAAACAACTTGTTTTTATTTCATTCAACAAAAGACAAATATCAATAAGAATTAATGATTTATGAATAATAAGAATAAATGAAAAAATACACAAGAATATATTTTATTATTTTACTGACATGAATAGAAAAATGAATAAATTTTCGAAATTATTTGCAAAATTTTTCATCAGATGATCAATAATAACATAAAAATATTTATGTAGAACAAAACAAACGAGAAGATGTTTTTAATAGAATCATCAACTATACTCGACATTATTTAAATAATTAAGTATCAAGAAATAGATTCTCAAATGATATCTTTCACTTTATTTTTATGTATTTGTCTGCTTTAAAATAAAAAAAATAATGAGTGAATGATTCTGATGCTTACTGTATTTCGTTTCAGATGAGTTTTGAATTAAATACTATCTATTGTATATGTCGAAAACTACGAGATAGCATGTCAAATTAAATTAGTTCAAACAATAGTTAATATGATTATTTCTATAAAAAAAAGGAAAACATTGAAAATCAGCACTTTTGAAGGAAATGCGACGTTTCCTGAAAGAAAAGAATGTATTTGAACAAAATATTTTATTATTTTTCATTCATTCATTTACATATCTATTGAGTTAAGCTGTAACTATGCTGTTAGATATCAACTCATTGGTGAAAAGATATTGCGTCGATAAAATAATTCCGTATTGATATAACTGCTGTTTCTTTTATATTCACTTTCTCTACATAAATATTCAATCACAAATTAATTTCTCCAGTAAGAAAAATGATTCAAAGAACATAAATAGCTTTTTATAGTGTGAAGAATATTGAGAGATAAATATAATGTCCACAATCACCAATAGTAACATCTAAATGTAATTATTCGAAGAATCCACATATTTTACATGGCTATGGTTGTAATTAAGAGCATGATTAAAGTTCTCTCTATTGACTAGTCATATCTAATAGACGATAACTAAGTGAAGATTAAGTACTAATTATTTGAGTTTTCTCGAATATTCTATTTCGACTTCCAATTAAATCATTTATTTACTCTGGAAATAATTATTGCATGCCATTAAATCAAATTAAAATCCATTTCTAATCATAAGTATTGTCTAATTCTCAATTATTTTAGTGGAATCTTTGTGTATAATAGATTATTTTTTCTCCGTGAGCAAATGTTGCATATACTTTGAACAGCGTTGATTTTCAATGTTGTATTAAATAATAATTACACCAGATGTTATCTCAAATAGTTTCATATTTATAGGAAATAGCAACTCTATCTGATAAGAGTTCGTTTTCAAATATCAACATTGAAAAAGGAAGTGAGCTGATTGTTTTTATTGATATACGATGTTTTACATTAACACGATGATCTACATCAAAAAAAAGAACTGATTATTTAAGAAAGAGCATGATAAATATTTTTTCTATTTTCTAGTTGAAACTGGAATGACAAACTTCTAAGATTAATCGATAAGGAATATTACATATATTACTTGAAATATAGATTTCAACAATTAACGAGAAGCATAAATGATTCTTTGTAATTATATTATTAATGACTGAAAATCTATAATGAAAAAGGTTTTTTTGCTGATTTTAGATTTGTAACAGTATTAAACTTTCAACAAGATATCAACAATGAACAACAACAACAGAATAGGAATTGAGAATGATGTAATTTATTGAGAAGAAGAAAAAGCATAAAATATAATATTTCATCTTTTTTGATTATTTCAGTCTGAAACAATTACGTCGAACGCAGCTCGACCTAAAAAATTGTATGTATGTTATGAATTGTAGACGATAATAAAAAAAGATTTATTATTATTCTAGATGTGATTATTTGAAAAGAAGAAAAGTGATGTGCATCACATTTACTATTGTTATTCTTGTTATAATTATAACAAGTTCAATTGTGCTCTTCAGAACAAAAAAGACGAATAGTGAACAAATATCTACAACAGAAGAAACAACAATTGAAATAACAGAAAAAATGGAAGTAACAACAGGTAGCTAAAATGAGATAATCATTTCAAATGACAGAAGTAGTACTGCATTATTTATCATAAGAACTTATATATATGATACCTCTAAGCAACAATATCAAAAGTTTTATGAGATTGATAATGAAATTTTTAGTATGTAGAAAGAATATTCATTAAGAAAAAGTATCTCAGAAAATCAGATATCAGTGATAATTCGACCATCTCAGGTTTCGCTTAATATTTTTTGTATGTTATGGATAGTAGTGATGTTAGTATTAGCTGAAATTGTCAACTCGATTAGATCACTCCTTTGTACACAGATAAACACAACACAAGCAGAATTTTCGATATTTGCCAATACCAGTTTTTTTTCAATTTTCCCAGGATTTTCACGGAATATTCGTTAGTAAAGATAACTTTCAGATATGAACCTTTGAAATATCATTAATAAAATGGACCTTAGTCGTTTTTCCGTGTTTTTCTATTAAAATGTTGATCCTTCGCATTTTATGCGCCAACAAGTAATCTCTCTGACATTTCTGCTGGTGACAGAGGACATTAAGACCTGTATCATCTAGGATATCCATGGGATGATAAATTCCGATTTTCAGAAAATTCAAATAAAGTAACTATACAGGAAATTTCCTGTAAATTTAATCGAATATTTTTAAGGATAATCATAGAAAACTGTTCTAACTCAAAAAAGATAGAGATGAAGTTGAAGTTTAAGCTCGGGTTAGGTTGGGTTAGGCTGCATGAAGTCAAATAAGAAATATATATCTATATGTATACATATAATATCTTCGGGGTATCGGTAGGTGAGAGTGTGCATGGAAAGAAGACAGCCACCAGCATACACACCCATCCTCGAGAGCCGTTCACTGTTATCCATACCCACTTTTGAGAGACATTCATTCATAACCACACCCACCTTCGAGAGCCAATCACCCATACCCATATCCATCCTCCAGAGCCATTCACTCATACCCACACCCATTTTCAAGAGCCATTCACCCACACTCAAGATTGTAATCCATCTTAAGATTTGTTATTTGATTATAATGCACTCGTATTGACAGTCCACATATGGTTAGAAAAGAGGTAAGAAATTAGGAGTAAAACTTTATCCAATCGTTTGATCTCATTCTAAACTCATTTCAACAACCTAGAACTAACTACGACATCATCATCAACAACAACATCAACATCAACATCAACAACAATAGCAACCAAAACATCAACAACAACAATATCAACAACAGCAGTATCAACAGCAACACCGCGTAAGTAATTTGTTAAATGATTTGTAGTTGGTCAGAGGACAATTACTACAAATAAAGACATCGAAAAGTTTTGATTTTAGCTATCGAATGTTCGTCATCTAGAAAAACCACATAAGGGAACATTTCTTGCCATAAATCGAAATAGGATCAGTTTTTGATGTCTTCATTCGATCTCCACTGAGCCAAATATTGAGTATGCACACCCTACTCATCAGTATCAATCGAATATATCGTTATTAATGAGATTTGCATTCGATAGAACTCATTGATCATTTTCATACATTTATTATATTGTGTGGATGATCAGGTTCATCTAATCGAGAGAAATGCTCTGTTGTTGTTGTTTATTACGCATATAAAAGTCACACAAAGCTCTCACAGTAAGCATGTTCAGTAGATAACAGTTGCACGATAGATGAAACACAAAAGAAAATAATTTGCGAAGCATCATGTTAAGATTATATAGAGAAAAGAGTGATATCTTCCTTTACAGCTGCAAAGGCAGGTTTTGATGTTATTAAGATAGTCTCGTTTTAAGCCACATTTCCTCATCCAATAATCGATTTTTATTTGATTTATCGATATGATTCTAAACGTCGAAGTACTATTTGATAAAATATCGACATGAGACATGCCTGCCAACACTTAATCTTATGTTCTTGATGACATCTATTAAGAATCGATGGAGCTTGAGCAATATCGATTAAGCCCTTTATAAAATATTTTTCATTAATTTGCTGAAATCTGAGGATCTTATTTTATCGATGAAAGAAAAAGGAAGTTCACTGAGGGTTAGATAGACAACATATCCGCATAAGAGGTCCGTCGCTATTCTATATGAACAACATTTTTAATCTCACTTTTCTTCTTTATCTAGAATGGACAATGACAGGAAACATGAATGTTGCACGAAAATTTCACACAGCATCTATATTAACAAATGGAAAAGTATTAGTTATTGGTGGATATAATGGTGTTTCTCTATATAGTACTGAATTGTATAATCCATCAATAGAAATATGGACAACTACTACTAGCATGAATCTTGAACGACAGCAACACACTGCATCTGTAGTCACAAATGGAAATGTGTTAGTTGCTGGAGGAATTAAAGATAAAGTTTTTTTGAATACTGCTGCATTGTACAATCCATCAGCAAATAGTTGGACAAATACGGGAAACATGCATGGTGTACGAGGTGCTCACACAGCAACTATATTAACAAATGGAAAAGTGATAATTAATGGTGGAGATGGTGGTAGTGGTTTTCTTAACACCGCTGAATTATATAATCCATCAACAGGAATCTGGACACGTACAGGAAACATGAATTATAATCGTGTTAATCATGCAACATCTTTATTAACAGATGGAAAAGTGTTAGTTGCGGGTGGATATAATGGTGGTTATCTAAATAGTGCTGAATTATATGATCCATCAACCGGTAATTGGACACATACAGGTAGCATGAGTGCTACACGACAAGATAGTACACTATCTACATTAATGAATGGAAAAGTGTTAGTTGCTGGTGGATCTGACGGTGGTTACCTAAAAAGTGCTGAATTATATGATCCATCAACGGGTAATTGGACAACTACAGGTAGCATGAATTTCGCACGAGCATGTCATACAGCATCATTATTGTCCAACGGAAAAGTATTAGTTACTGGTGGATCTAATGGTGTTTATATAAATAATACTGAATTATATGATCCATCAACAGGAATTTGGACAAATACTACTAACATGAATATTGCACGACGACATCACACAGCATCTGTATTCACAAATGGAACGGTGTTTGTTGTTGGTGGTGAGGATGGTAATAATATGTACCTGAATAATGCAGAATGGTATCCATTGCCATAAGCTAAATGACATTTTTCTATCGATTGAAACATATAATTTATCCTTCGAATAGAAACCATTTACTTATAAATTCTTTAATAAAACTATTATGAAGAATATCTTGTTATCTTGATTTTATTCTAGAATAAGTCTTTATGACAAAATGATAATCAGCTAAATCATTTTGACAGTGTAGATGTAGATGTGGGTGAGAGTTTGGGTATTGTATTTTTCTTTTATCCACGCCCTAGATGTATTGTTTCTTAATCACCCATTTGATTATTATTGATCTCTAATATAATGAATATCTATATCATAGCGTATATATGTTGATACGAAAAACATGAACAGCAAGAAGGGTGGGTGTGTCTCACCTTTTAGCTCACACCCACACCCGCAAGATGATGGTATATTAAAAATATGATTGAGTTTTTAAGAAACAATATATTTCATGAATATAGATCCGATAGTTGTAGCAACAGATGAAAAAATTTTAGATTCTAAATTGATGAAGAAAGCGACTGGTTTTTGGAAACGATCAATTGATGAGATAGAAGATTATGAAGGAAAACCATCTTGAGGATAAGTGAGGGTGTTGTTGTTCTCTTCAACCATTTTCAATCACACCCACACCTTTA